GTATATATAGGAATAAAATATATAAGAATAAAGCAATATATTTTTAGTACCTTCATGCTAATGGCAAATGTAATCTATTTTCTCTAATAAATTGCCACATTATCCTCCTTTGTAATTATATAAAGCAAAATGCTATTTTAAAAAAAAAGATTTATTAATAAATATGATTATTTTTAATTATAAATTTATTTATTTATCAAATATTTTATTATAAACATATGTTTCTAAAAAATACCAAACTATAATCAATAATATTCATATCAAAACCATTGCTATTGCTTTAAAACTAAATAGAAAATTATGTTTAAACTCTTAAAATATCGTTTTAGTTAAAATTAAATAATTAAATTTTGGTTACTATAAATATACTTTAACTTAGAAATTTAGCACTAAGAAATTTATTTTTCTTACAAAAATCGAGAAATCGTTCCCGTCAAAACAAAAAAAAACTTTATTTTCTCATTAAACTGAAAAATCGGCTATTCCCGCCAAAACCAAAAAAATTCATTTTCTCGTCAAACCTAAAACCTAAACTTTCATTTTTCCGTGAGAACCTGTGTTTTTTCACCAAAGCCGAGAAATTACATTTTTTCACAAAAACGAAAAAGTTTCATCTTCCTGCAAAAACCAAAAAAAAAAATGTATTTTCCTGCCAAAATCGAAAAAATTATTTTTCCTGCGAAAACTGAGAAATCATATATTCCTGCAAAAAAAAAAATCATTTTCTCGTCAAGCGCAGAATCACGCTTTCTTACAAAAACAAATAAACTACAATTTTCCGCGAAAACCAAAAATTGTATTATCTCCCGTGAAATTGTGTTTTCCTGCGAAAACTAAGAAATTGTCATTTTTTATCGGCTCAAATTTTTGCTGATGTGTGAGCTTCTTATAACAGAAAGCTTTTTGTGTTGTTGTCATGGAGGCATAGTTGATGCTGAGCCTATACTTTTCAATCATACACGTCTATGTCAAACAAACAGATAGCTAGAATTTTTTTTATTATTTATTTGTTGTTATTTATTATTTGGATTTGGTCTTGGCAAAAAAAAAAGAAACAATGATTTATTTTTTTATTTGTTTTCATTTATTATTTGGGTTTGGATTTGGCAAAATAAAAATAATAATTTTTTATTAGCTGTTATTAATTATTTGGGCTTGAGTTTGGTAAAAAATAAAACAAAAATTAATAGAAAATATATTTGAGTTTTTAATGGGTTTAAGTTTAAAAATTAAAATAAGTAGATGACATGTATTAATAAAATATTTTGATTGGTGACTATTTTTGCTGAGATGTCATGTTTGTAAAGCTTAAAAAATCTGAGGTGTCAAGCTATGAAGATACTTTAGTGTTATTGTTGTGTTGATTATCGTTTCTTCTCTCGTAACCTATAGTTCTGGAGAGCTCGCTACCTGGTGACAAAGACACACTCCGATAAATTTTCATTTCAGTTAGGCCGATTTCTTGCTCTCTCCCCTTTCATTAGAGAGATCTCTCTAATGCTTCCACTTGGCGCCCCTCCTCGAATACTATTAGCCAACTTCGGTACGAGCCCGCGTGTCGTCGGCAACTAGAAGAAATGTTAAAGTATACGTCCGAGGAAAACGCCCAGTGACAGGGTCCTCTTCTTGACGCCCGCTTCATCAATGGCGTTTGGCTACTTCTGCCGGTCCTCCTTCCAGGGTGAGCCCTGCATCTGCCCGATCTATGGCTTTTTCGAATTCCGAGCAACATTCTCTTGTCGCCTAGGGAGTGACTCCTCTCCTGGATCCTTCGTCCCCGACTTCTTCTTTCTAGGAGATACCTCCTGGTCTTGCGCCTCTGCCCCTGGTCGGTTGGCCACGCGCCACAGCCAATCTTCATGGATTTTTGGATGAGGTAGTTTGACGCTTGAGCATGGCTCATGATCGTTTTTATTTTTAAGCTCCAATGACCGACACCACCTATTTTCTTGAGTGCAAGGTTTTCGGTTGCTGTCGTTATTGAAGAACGAATTATTGACGATCAAATGCAGGGAGAGGAGTCTATCCGACCGGGCTAGAGAGCTCCAAACGGATCTAATTACTATAAAAGACCTCTTCGTATAGTCGTAATTTTTAGGTCCGCATTGGAGAAGACTCGGTGCATCCTTGCCGCTTGTGATTGGGCAGTCACCTAATTTCATGATCTGATGGCCTGCCATCCAGGGTGGGCTTCTGATGCTCCCAACGCAGATACGCATATGCTGCCATGGCGATCCTCCAGAAGACTCAAGTTAGGTTTAGCAGCTTCATCATTATTTGGACGGTATGCAGGCAGGGCCGGCCCAGAGGGTAGGCGGGCTAAGCCAGCGTTTAGGGCTACCAATATTTTTGAAAAAATTAGGTTAAAAAATAGGTCACAAATGTTGAAAAAATCTAAAAAATGGGCCACAAATTTAAAATGACCAAATAAAGTTTACATTTTCTTTTTTTATAGCTTTGGACCTGTATGCAGGCGTCTCAAGATGGCGTGGGAGGCCAGTCACCTTTAGTGGTCTCAGGTTTGTTGGGAGGGGGTCTTTCTGGTACGGCAGCCAGACCTTCAACTTAGTTCAAGGCCCACTAAATCTTTAGTTTTCATAGCAATCGAGCTTTGTAGCATAGGACTTTCGTTGTAATAATGACTTTTTATAAAAATAAGATTCTTTGTTAGTTTTTGCTTTTGGCATTCGTGTCTTTCATACGTCACTCCATTCTTTTTATTGCTTTGTTTTCAAGAAATCAACTTTCGCTTTAGAAGGCGGAACTCTTCTGGTGGACTTTTGCAGTGGCTTGGAGAGTGTTTGCAACATCTGACATGCGGCCTGTTAAGTTTGGTTCAATAAAAACCCTACTGAGTGGATCCTTTTATTGATGTGTAACTTTTTTATTGGCTACAAGAAAAGTAATTCCAACAATGCTATATAATAATTTAATAAAAAAATTTACAAAAATTTCTGAGATATTTATATACAAGGGATATTTTTATCGACGACATCATATAAAAGTTTCTATAAATTCTAAATTTTGTTTTACTAAAGCATTTATTTGATATTATAATTTAAAAAATTTATCATCATCATTAGTTTAAAATCAAATATGTTTGTGTCATTTATCCATTATCAATATAAACTGTTACTAATAATAATTTTTTTTTAAAACAAAAATATTTTCAAACACTTTTAGAGAAAAATATAATACCTTTACACAATAAGTAAATAAAATGAAATAAAAACATATCATAGATTGTTATTTTATGATATGCATTCATAATGTTTAAACACATATTAATAAAAGATATGTTTAAATTAGATATATAACCATAAATGCTTTACAATTACACACAAAGGGTTGATGGCTTGAAAGAAGTCATTGGTTAAGGATGGAGATTTTTTTAACTGTTATAAAGATGAGGATCAGTTGTATTAATAAGAATGGTAAAAAAGAAAAAAATGATCCAAATATGTATATGGTAGCCATAAGTTCAATTTTTCAAAGCAAAATATGATAATTCAAATCAAGATTAAAGGTTTCAATAGATAGGAATGGATTCAACCAAAGCAAGTTTCAACTAAAACATGAATATCAAAACATGAATTCTAAGTGTTGTGCTATCTTAATTTCAAACTCCTCCAAATGCATCAAACAATTACAAACTTGGCAATGACTTCATCTCAAAAATTAATATTTTACAAGGAAAAACTTACCATTGCTCTCTATGCAAATGTATGTAAATTAATATGAAATGCATTTACACTAAATCCTAAGCATGTAAATAGAACTAAATATTCACACTCTTTTTAAAGATTTATGAATTTTCAAAAAAAAAATTATTTTTTTAGATAGAATTCCTATTAAGTAGGTCTCCTTACCGACGTAGAAGCTCGTGATTGGTTTCTGGAAAATCAGTCTCAATAATTACTTTATCATAGAATTACTTTTTACTCAATCAACCGAAAACAAACTTCAAAATAAAACATCCAGTCCGTATAAAATAGAACATCAAGTACACAATTCCTTTTACCACCGATCCAATACTATCACCTCTATCACATAACACATAATGCCCCAAACCTTTTTGAAATTGAAGATTTCAACCCAAACACATCAAAAAGACTTGTTGGGACTGCTTTATTTTTTAATTAGAGACTTAAAGAGGACACAAACACAAGCTAGATAAAAAAAAATATGACAATTATGCTATATGTCTTGGTAATTTACAAAACTCGAAAAATATCCAACACATTATTTTTGCAATCACATAGTTCACCACACATATATTTTTAATTGGTTATAATACAAGATAATATATCTTTATTATCATAGAAAAATAATATAATACTTTTTACATTTACAAGAAGTAAAAAATCATGTTTCTATAATTATTATTATTATACAAACATTCAATAATATAGACATTACAAAGTATTTTTAAATTAGTAACTGATATTTAATAACAAACATATACTACAAAATACTATAAAAAATAATAACATAAATATAATTAAAATATGATAAAATGCAAATGAAAGGCTTAGTCTTAATAAAAGTTTGGATAGATGACCGTGTGACAAAACTATAACTTAAAATATTGTGACCTGTATCAAATTTGTGACTAACCCTATATCCGTATTTACAACAAGAACAACTTGTGTTTACAAAAAAACGACTGATTGAGAATTATGAAAAGTTCTTCCTTAAGTGAGATTAAACTGACAATTTCAAATTCAAGTATGGAGATTGGTAAGATGTAACTGTCAAAGAAATATTCGTCTCTAGCTCTTTAGACAAATTCTTAAACTAATTTGACTTATTAAACATTATAACACTTACTCTAAGAAACTTTCATAGAGTTCTATAGACAAACATACTAGTTGTCATACTGAGGGCTATATAAGTTGCTTCATTTCTGTTACCATCCATTCAAAAATAATTTGGTTGAATAGTAAGTATCAGACTAACAAAACAGGGACAAGACACAAGAGCACACAAGTTCAATCGACATGGCTAATCCTAAGAATTGGTCATCTCTTCTAATTATGTTAGTCTTGACCTTGTACGCCATTGTTGCTCATGCAAGTGCCCAGTACACCTATTCTTCACCATCATCACCACCATATGCTTATACCTCTCCACCATATGTTTACAAATCTCCACCACCTCCTCCATACGTCTATAGCTCTCCACCACCTCCTCCTTACGTGTACAGCTCCCCACCACCTCCTCCATATGTTTACAAGTCACCACCACCTCCTCCATACGCCTATAGCTCTCCACCACATCCTCCCTATGTTCACAAGTCGCCACCACCACCTCCTTATGTGTACAGCTCTCCACCCCCTCCTCCATATGTTTACAAGTCACCACCACCACCTCCATACATCTATAGCTCTCCACCACCTCCTCCCTATGTTCACAAATCTCCCCCTCCTCCTCCATACGTCTATAGCTCTCCACCACCTCCTCCATATATTTACAAGTCCCCACCACCTCCTCCATACGTCTATAGCTCCCCACCACCTCCTCCATACGTCTATAGCTCTCCACCACCTCCTCCTTACATCTACAGTTCACCGCCACCTCCTTACGTTTATAGCTCTCCCCCACCTCCTCCATATGTTTACCAGTCGCCACCACCTCCTCCCTACCTTTACAAATCTCCGCCTCCTCCTCCATTGTACTAAATAAACATATACATGGTAAACTGAGTTTGAAAAGAAAATTGTCTTCGCTATTATTGATCAGCCATATCGTATTATTAAAAACGTTATCTTTCTATAATGTCATATATGTATAAGAATGTAGTTTCTTTTGTTTATACTCAGGTGCATTCTTGTTGTTCGATTTCTGCTTTTGATCTTGATATACTTTTTTTTAACATGATCGATGTTCTTGTCGTCTACCTATAATTGAACAAACTACAATGATTTGAAACGAAGTATAGAATCCTAATTTCTCCATGACTCTAACTCATATATGGGTCTCGTGAAAATATTGAAAGCTAGCTATCGCATATCCCCAATACTTCAGCATGCATTTGACACAGTCACACGGATCCTCTTTTTCTCTACAACGCCTCATAGGAAGATGTCTATCTTATCTAGGTGCATGAAGGGATAAGATCCGAAGAACACAAAAATAATCATATGGTTACGACTTACAACCATGACGAGTTTATTATCCGGAGAGTGCATTCATAATATCGGAATCGTAGATGATTAGGCTTATAGTTTTCAAAACATTAAAGATACAAGTATGTCAAAACAAAACTTGAAAGAAACCAATTAAAAACATGTATGTAATGAATCAAACATGATAAGTTTTTTACACCTTCTACAAAAACTAACACGAGTACTCGGTAGATTGAAAAAAATAATCTCCATCCGAAAGCAATATGTAACTAGATGATTGCTTGCGCACTGCGAGGACATGTGAAGATCGATTTTAAATTTAATTTTCTTTGATGTGAAATTAAAATTCCAAAATCTACAAATCCCAAGATAAAATATAATATTGATTTGTTTATGAATATTCAAATGAAAAAAAGAAGCAAATCTGACATTTTACAAATTATCTTTCTAAACATAATACTTACCTTATGTTTGGAACTGTGTATAAATTAATAGTGCCTGGCAAATACGGTTTACCTTGAAAACCAAGATAACAGGAGAATAGGAACTTGGCATGATGCTCCTGTTATCTATTGTGATAACATTGAAACTACTTACTTGAGCGCCAACTCCGTCTTTCACTCACACATAAATCATCTTGCCCTTGATTATCACTTTATTTGGGAACTCGTTAAGCTTGCAATCTTCGTGTTTCTCATGTCTCCTCCAAAAATCAGCTGGCTGATACTCTCACCAAACTACACCGAGAGAGAAATTAAAGACAAGAAACTATACGAGAGAGAAAGAAGAATATATAGTTTATATGAATATATCCTAATCATTAACACAACACGCTTGTAAGATTCGATCTCAAAATCAAGCCAAAGAATTATAATTAAAAATTGTAAATTAGAAAATACAAAAACAAATATAAGGGAGAATACATCAGGTACTCGTTTTCAAGAGAATTCGGTATTAATTTGTTTTTTTGTGTGCCTTTTTGTCTCAATTTTATCTCAATCATGAAAATCAGAAAAGAATTTTGTCATAATAGTGCACGTGGCTCTTTATCTGAGCGTAAAAAGAAAAAGTTATGTGGAGTTATATATATATATTTTTTTCCATTTTAATTATTCCTTTTATTTTAAAAATGTTATCACTAATTTTATTATTTTAAAAGTTACATTAATTGACATTTTCCATAAATAACACAAATTGTAAAATGATCTTAATAGTTTATAATTTAAATAATTGATTGTAAGTTTAGAATTTAAGATTTATTTTGAGGCTAAAGTAATTTATGAATGTTTACTTAGTGGATTGGTTTGTTAATTTGTGGGGTCTGATATATAGGTTCGAACTTTATGACATAGGTCAATTTACAAAAATGAAACAATGGAATGAGAAGAAAGTGTTCTCCTTATTATTTTCTGACGTTCAAGTCAAAATAACGGACGTAATTGGTCGGATAAACAGAAAGGAACAGGTAGGATAGGATGTTTATAGAGTGTTTTGTCCTATCGATTCAGAGTGATACCGACAGAGTTTTGTCTGAGTGAATTAAATGAATGCTAGAAGATGGACTTTAAAAGACAAGTTTCCTAGAGAGGCAAACTCTAATTCCCGAAGGAACGTTTCCTGAAAAACGATCCTGGATGATTAAAAGAGAAGTTACCTAGAAAGGTAAACTCTGATTCCTAGAGAAGATTTCTCCACAAAGCGATCTTCGAGGATTAAAAGAGAAACTCTATTGAGAGACAAAGTCGGATTCTCCAAAGGAATATTTTTCGAAAGGCAATCTCAGAGAATAAAAAGAGAAGCATCTTGGAGAGGAAAACTCTGATTCCCAGAGGAAAGTTCTTCGGAAGGTGATCCTGGAGGATCAAAAAAGAAACTCCATGTAGAGACAAACTCTGATTCCCATAGGAAAGTTGCACAGAAAATGATCTCAGGGGATTAAAAGAGAAGCTCCCTGAAAAGATAAACTCAGATTCTTGGAGGAACTCCGTGAAAAGACAAACTCAGATTCTTGGAGGAAAGTTCCCCCTAAGGTGATCCTGGAGAATTTAAAGAGAAGCTCCCATATGATTAAAACTTAAAAGAGAAGCTCCCAGAGGATTAGAAGAGAGTAGGAGACTGGTTACATCGTTAATATTAGTGGGATTCTCATCACTAAATGCAACACGTATGACTTCCTGTGGGGCCCGCGACATGATTTTGGTGTGCGTTACTCGTTTAACCGTGTAAAATTTCTTGTTATTTTATTAATTTTTTTTAAATTAACTTCGTTCATTCACAAAAAGTACTCTGACAGGGTTACAACGCGAAATCAGATCAAATCAAAAGACGATCTGCAATTAGCTAATAGCAAACAATGCTATGTATAAAACTACACCTAAACCGTTTAGTTAGCTAACAAAGTAAACCGCGAGGTAAGAAGTGACACTGTGGAAGAGGAATTCCTTTGATTAGGAGAAAGAGGATCCAGCCTGAAACGAATAACAGCTTTTATGTCTTCGATGACCGTTTGGGCTGTTCTGAACAACCCCGAGTGAAGTCTCGCATTCCTTTCTTTCCAAATACTATAGATAGATGCTTGCAAGGCCATCTTGAGGATTAAGGCAACATTTGTATCTCTAATGGGATCTTTCATCCATCTCAATCTATCATCAAACAAGACAGGAGGATTAAGATGGGCTTTGGAGGAGAAGAAAGACCATACCTCGTTGCTGAAAGTGCAATCGAAAAATAGATGTTTCCGAGATTCATCATTGACATTGCAAAGAAGGCAAGTTGACAGAACCGGAAGACCCCAACCTCGCAGCCTGTCCCTTGTAGGGAGACGATTCCTAGAAGTAACCCATGTGGGGAAAGCATGTTTCGGGATCCCCCTTTGAACCATATAGCTGGATGCCATGCAACTTGTGGCCCTTGAGGATGAAGAGCCATCCATGTGAGTGAGCTCGAGAATGAAGAAGACGGCGTAGTATTGAGACCCGCCTTCCATAGGAAAATATCATTTACCTCTGATTCAGTGATTGCTGCCGCTGGTGGAAGACACTATTTCAAAAGCAGAAAAATAGAATCCCTGCTGCGAGAGGCTTGAATCCACCATTGTTGATGCTGAATAGCTTGAGAAACCACCGCCTGAATCGGGAGCCCTGAGAAGGCAAGTTGACAGAACCGGAAGACCCCAACCTCGCAGCCTGTCCCTTGTAGGGAGACGATTCCTAGCAGTAACCCATGAGAGGAAAGCGTGTTTCGGGAGCCCCCCTTTGAACCATATAGCTGGATGCCACGCAACTTGTGGCCCTTGAGGATGAAGAGCCATCCATGTGAGTGAGCTCGAGAATGAAGAAGACGGCATAGTATTGAGACCCGTCTTCCATTGAAAAATATCATCTACCTCTGATTCGGTGATTGCTGCCGCTGGTGGAAGACACTATTTCAAAAGAAGAAAAATAGAATTCCTGCTGCGAGAGGCTTGAATCCACCATTGTTGATGCTGAATAGCTTGAGAAACCACTGCCTGAATCTGGAGCCCTGAGATTCTGGGTCCATCATCACCAGTCATATCGATCAAAAGACCCAAACATGTCCAATTATCCAGCCAAAAATTAGCCAAAATACCGAACCCACTTCATAAATGACAAAGGGATGAGCTAGAGGTCGAAGCTTGCATAAACTCTTCCAAATCCAGCTTCCCGAGTTACCAACATCCAAGCTCCAAAAATTAGAAACTTCAATCAGATTGTGTTGCACCCAGGATACCCACAGAGACCACATATCAGTAAATATAAGCCAAATCAGTTTGAGACCGAGAACCTTGTTCCACGCCTCGAGTCTCCTAAGACCGAGTCCTCCACTCTCCTTAGAAGAACAAACCGATTCTCAACTTATTTTTGCTCCACAAGCCGAGTTAGGAACCCCTTTCTAGAGAAACCTATTACACATTTGTTCCAGCACCTTTAAACATTGGTTAGGCAAGAGAAAGATAGAGGCCCAGAATGAAATAGTAGAGTAAATAACTGGCTGAAGCAGTTGAAGATGTCCAGCAAAGGAGAGGTGACGAACTGTCCAAGATGAAAACTAGTTAGCTATTCTGTCAACCAAAGACTGATAATCCCGCTTCCTCAACTTCCTCGACGTTAAGGGAACCCCTAGATAACGAACCGGAAAGGACCCTTGTTTCAGCCCCAACCTTTCAGCTATTCCAGCAGTCGCTTCAATATCTCCACCATCAAAGAAAACAACTGATTTATTACGATTCACCGCAAGACCCTAAACACTTCTGAAAATTTCAAGGATGGACAAAATTTCTTGAAAATGCTTCAGACCCGTCAAAGAATAGAAACACATCATCGGCAAAGCTTAGATGGCTGACCAGAGGAGCATTACAGCGAGGGTGAACGCTGTACACACCATCCATTGCACCAGAGTCTAACAACTTATATAGAATATCCATGGCCAAGACAAAGAGAAGAGACGATATCGGATCCCCTTGGCGCAGGCCTTTTTTCCCCAAGAAAATAACCAATGAGCTGTCCATTATACGCAATACTGAATGACGGGGTTGTGATGCACTCAGAGATCCAACCCCCAAAGATGTCCGGGAAGTCCAGAGCTTTGAATAGATTAATCAAAAAACCCTAATGAAGATTATCATAGGCCTTTGTTATATCCACTTGCAAACAGCCTCGAGTAGTAAGGCCCCTCTTATGAAAATTGACAACTAGTTCGGAAGCCAGCAAAACATTCTCACACAGCAATCTTGCTTTTACAAAACCCACTTGGTTATTCTGAACAGCTTGCGGGATTACCAATTTAAGTATCCTCTTGATAATGCGAGCAATTACTTTATATATCGTAGAGCAACAAGACACTGGCCAGAATGAAGCCAATTGATCAGCGCTATAAATTTTTGGAATAAGAGCAATTGTAGTGACATTAAACCTCCTGATCATATGTCCCAAGAGAAAGAACTCCTTCACTGCCTTAATAGATTCAGCACCAACAATATCCCAAGCTTCCAGGAAGAATGCAACAGGAAACCCATTTGGGCCTGGAGCTTTGCTCTTCGGCATCTTAAAGAAAGTTTCTTTGATCTCCTCATTAGAAAGGATCTCAACAAGGGAAGCTGCAAGCGCCGGAGAGCATCTGAACGGATGAATAGCCCTGATTTGAGCTACTGAGTAAGGATTAGCTGAGCTCTCCGTACCCAACAGGTTCGTGAAGAAGGAAATAAGCATATTTTTGATTTGATCCTTACCATCAATTCTCACCCTATCTGAAGTTCTTAAATAAGTAATAGCATTCCTGGCTTGATGCGCTAGCACCATCTTGTGATAGAATTTTGTATTCGTATAGCCATTATTTAGCCATCACACTTTTGACTTACAATGATAAAAGATCTCCTGAGCATCGGCAAAAAACCTCCATTTTCTTCTTGCCTCAGCCTCTTCTCTATCCAGCAAATCCGAAGGAGAGCTGAGAAGCACTTTTTAAACTTCGTCAAGGTTCAAAAGGGCTTCTTTTATTCTTTGTTGGATGTTTCCGAAGCCCTCACTATTTAGCTCTTTGCAGCAAGACTTAGCTTCCTTCAATCTTAGATCAAGCATAAACAGACTTGAATCCACAATACTTGGGGAATTCCATGCTTCAGACAGTTTAGAGATAAAGTTACAATGAAAAGAGGTAAAAGAGAAGTACTTGAAACCCTTCTTGCTCCTTTCTCTTTCCGAGTCTAGACAGATTAAACTGGAATGAGATCCACTCATCATTCACAAGAGCCCTGTCCAACTTACGCAGGATGGGATCCCCTGGATGGCAATTTGTCTAAGTATAAAAATCTCCTCTACAATTGTGATCCGATAAATCATTTTCCTATACACAAGACCAGAACTCCGCCATACCCGTCAACAGAAGATGGTAAGGGATTATCGAGTAGTGCTCACTAGCCGACAAGATTTGATTGAAGTCTCCTACCATAAACAACGGGGAGTCCTCAACAAGAGGATTCTGCGATACTTCTGTGATCTCCTCCCATAAGACTATGCGCTGAACCTTGGTATTATATGCATACACAAATGCCACCGTCAACGAGATGATCGAAGAGGGATTAAACACCCCACACACCATGATCTAAGCAGTTTTCTTGAACACTAATACTAAAAACGAGGGATCCCAAACAACCCACATACGGCCAATATCATAGAACCCATAGTTATTATCCCACCGCCAACCAGGAAGAGCATTTCTCAAGATACCCACAGCATTATCTTCTTTTACTCGAGTTTCTAAAATACCGCCTACCAAAGGTTTATTACTATTTACCTAACTCCTAAGAACACGTTGACGAGAAATCATATTAAAACCTCTAACATTCCAGAGCATCATTAGGACCTTCCTCTACAACGACATGAAGGAAAGAACCTGTTACTGAGGACCTGAAAATTGGCACCGGCTTGGAAACAGGGGGACAATAAAGCCAGGCTTCTTCTTAGATAGAGGTTTCTGACATTGATTCATCAAATGACCAAATCTTTCACAGTTCAGACATTCGGAGGGAGACGAGGATACGAGACCGAAACCTTTGCTGAATTACCTTGAGAGTCTCTGATAATAATAGTTTCAGGGGGAGAGCTCTGGAGCATTATTTCTACATTAACCTTCGTCTCTCCAATATTGACGTCATCCAGGAGAGAGTTTTCCGTGTGGAGATACTCCTCAACTGCACTCGCAATCACACTTATACCATCCAGAGAATAGAGCATAGAAGGGACGTTATTGAGAATTGCCCATGTGGGAGCTGAGTGTAGCTAAAATAGTTTGAGAGGACCATCTAGAGTCCACGACGAGATGGTGAAGGAGCAATGACCCGCATTCCAGAAACCCATTTCCAAGATCCATTCCCTTGTTTGAACAGAGGGGATGAAAATCATACAAGCAAAATCCAAAATTTTTCGCATCAAAATTGAGCCAAATTTTCCCCAAATTGGATTAAGGTCATGGTACCACTGATGCAGGAGGAAGAAGACCGTGAAATTGGGCCACAATGTACCCTTTCCAGAGCTCAGACGTTTGGAGGATGACTGATTCCAGAGCCTGAACGATTGGCGTGCCATCGTCAAGGAAGGTCGGAGAAGACATTTTTCTTAAATTGCGGAGATAGGCTTTAAATCTGGCTGCATACGGCACATCGGATGACGAAGAAATTTCTTATGGGACCGAGGAAGTAACAGATCTGGGAATCGATTCAGAGTTAACCACCGAATGAACAGCCACCGGCGAATCCACCGACGGAGGAGACATAAGAGAGGAGGTGGAACCCATCGAACCAAGAAAGAAAAAAATGGGGAAAAGTTTCTCGTCAACCGGCGTGAGGCCTAGTCGCCGGCGTACGAACGGAACAAGAACCCAATCGCACTCAATCTCTCACTCTCTCACTAACTCACACTCTCTCTGTTTCTCGTCTTGGGACTGTAATTAAGATGCTCTCGTTGGTTAAAATGTCAATTTTTTGTTATTTACGTCGTTGGTTGTTGGGTCTTCCCTATTCTTGACGACGGTGCGTATCTCTTTTAGTCGATTTGACTTTTTGCTCCTTCCGAGGCCCACGAAACAAAACTATCGATAAGATCTTTTGTTTTTTTTTGCATCTACTTCTTTCGACCTCTGTTGCTCCAATCATTGATCTTTTAGGACTTTTTTCGCTTTTTTTTTCCTGCCACTGTCTTTCTCTGCTTCGGACCATCATCTTCTTTGGTAACATTGTAATTTATATTATGGTTGTAATTTATATTATGCCTTTTTCCTTCTTTCGTTTATATCGATGGTTGCTTGTCCCTCGTGCGACTCGTGGAGAGGAAGGAATTTTGATGAGAGCAAGTCTTATACTTCTCTGCTGCTCTCGAATTTCATTATCGATCCTCCTCACCGCCGGCAAGATACGGATCCTGCCATGCTGCACCCTTCTCAGCCTGAGGCGATTGCATATGTTGGTTTAGCCACAAAGCTGTTATCGAGCCGGTGGTGTGATGGGGGTTGGCAGCTCGTCGCAAGAAGGGATATTTTGTACTTAGATGGGAACATATCTTTTCTCTCAACGTGCTTCCAATTATTTTTGATGAGTGTACTACGGACTGAATAGTCTCCTTCAAGGTGTATTATCCTTTACGCCAACTATGAGGCACATAACCTCCATACACATCTTCTAGATTTTCTGGTAGAGTATTGTAGCTCAATTAGGATATGTTATAGCCAAATGATCCCATCAGCTTGGGAGGCATTGTGCTCCTTTCAATTACTAAGAAATTTTCATGGATCCACATCCTCGTAACCGTTGTTGGAATTTTCTTCTCAGGGAGAAAGAGGGTCGGCCAGGAGGCGTTCACAAAGACCTTCTCGGAGTGACCCAATCAATTGCAACTTATTTTCACTGTGCTAAGCAATCGTCACCGTTGGCAGGATGCATAATGCGTTTAGCATATCTGCCTAGTGGGGTTGGTTAGGGCTAGATGGAGGAACCAGATGTGTCATCTCTGCTTTTGTGATGATTCTTTTTTTTCTTACCGACTAATCATCTTTGCTTTACTTTTGTAATAATCAAGACTCCTCCCATTGGTAGCGTCCTAATAGAGTGCTTTAGCATCATCCCCACAGAGCATCTTTCTGAGGCGTTTATTCATTGCTCCGCTGTCTCAGCTCCAACTTTTTTACCCTGCCTATGGTGTCTCGTTTCCTTATTACAATAATTTCTAAATCTTTCATTTGTTTCGACGGGTGACATGATCTTTGCCTTGAATTTGGACTCATTGGCGCTTGGTTTCAAGTTCTCCCGAACTTCTGGAATACCTGTATGACATGGGACAGGACTCTCCAGATTGCTTACGGACCTCAACTGCTTTGATCCATCATAATTCTTCAAAGAGAGCCGTTGGCGGCAATTTTTTTTTTTTAAAAAAAGATAAGTACAAAGCTTTATTAAAAAAATTAGATTCCAAATTACAACTTATTCTTAAGAGAAATACAAAAGAAAAAGATAAAATTTGGATGAACTTAGATTTCTTCGATAAAAGATAAGGTTTTTAGACCAAGACTATTTTTGGAGTTCCCAAAATAGTCTTGGTCAACATAATAAACCTAGTCAACAAAATGGTCAACTTTTGGTCAACACTTGGATAGCTTGCATTGGGTAGAATGTCTTGAAGCGTGGTCGATATGCTCTGCTTGGTGTATCCGGATATGCTGCATCAGACGGATTGCTTGGTGGACTCCTCTACCATTGCTTCGGCTTGCTATGCACTGGGCATGATCAGTGCACTTGCTCAATGTGTCCTGCATATTGGTCATAACCCCTCGGTGCACTCCTCGATGCAAGTCACATCAGGCACATAATCTCCAGGCCTGGTCGATGTACTCCTTGATGCAGCTCCAATCGCCTTAATCCTTTCAGCTTGGCTCTCCAACTTTAAACTCACGATCACTCTTCCAATGGCCTTTTTAGCTCCATATGGACCTGAAATACACTCCAAATGCAACATTGCATGTATTCCTAATGCTAATGCAAACTAAGTCTAATATGAATGCAAATGCGATACTTTTGACTTTTAAGTGAATGAAACGAGATGAAAACCTATACCAAATGAAGTCTAAAATGATGCAATTATGCAAGCTATCAGGCCATGAGAAACCATTGGCTCCAAATATCCTAGAATAGCTCTCTGCTTATCCGTTGGCTGCTGTCAATCCGCCTGGGAGTGCTCCTAAGACTCTTGCCGACAAGGATAGTGGGAAACAGCAACAGGGGGGGGGGGGGGGGGGGCGTATTGAAACCGCTACTCATTGCTCTTTGTCATGTTCCCCATCCGCGGCTAGCCGTCATCCCAAAACGTCTTATCTGCTGAGAACAAGGAGGAGCCTGCTCAGTCTTTAAACTCTACGGTCTCAAAGGGCTTCTCTCATAGGCACTGTTGTCATTGTAGCAAGCCTATGAGAAGAACCTTCAAGGACAGGGTCGACCGTATGGCTCCACTATCAGACGAGGAGTGTCATCGGCCAGGCCATCCACCATTGATTCCTGGTCAGCATCTCTTTCGTTTTGATCCTTGTCATGATGTGACCTTCCGGTTTACAGCTTTTGCCTCACATTCGCCTTTCTTTCCAGGACGGCCTGATGGATAGACATCTAGCTGCCTTTCTTTTTACCCAAGAGGTGCAGCTGAGGTCTCTCAGGGAGACTCCTGAGGTGATTTTGGCAAAGCTCGAGTCAGCGGTCACCAAGTCCTCTTCCTACCATTTCGACACATTCAGAATTGATGCGTATATAGAGGACTGAGGAGGAAGTCATGTAGCTAACTAGTGATTTAGAGAAGCTACAAGACATGGTTGTTAGGACGGATGCAGACATCTTGGGTCATTAGACAGAAGTTAACTGGTTGAATGACGACACGATTGCTTTGATGAATCCCCAGATGTTACGGGCTAACATGCTGTCGTGTCCATCAACAGTTGAAGTATCGGTTTTCTAATGCCTCTTCATGTTTATTCAAATTATTATTAACATGAGATTTGTTTTGAAATGACACGCACAAATCAAAAAACTTAACCCATAGTATTTTGTTTGATTTCATACAAATATGTCTCTAAATTTTTGATATGATCGCATAAAATCTATTTTAAAATCAGAACACTTGGCGACCAATCTATAATGACTTACGCCAGCTCTAATTAAATATTTTTGAAATATCGTAGCAGTAATATAAAAAAACATGGATCTTTAATAAATCATGTATATATCACTATAAGAAAAGGGGTAATTTATGTCAGAAATTTGCGACGACATTGCAACGGCTTTGAAACTGAAATCTGGTTGCAAATCCGCCGCAATTCACAACTGCGAGGGTCGTCAGAAATTCACCGCAGCATTGCGACATAGTTGCGATGAATTTGCAACCGATAGGGGAACTTGCGACGAACTAAATAGGCTATCGCAAAATATGTCGTAAATTACGTTGAGAAAGTGAGGGCAGTGTGCCATCGCAAAAGTGCTCCATGCTTGCAACGCATTTGCGTGGGTTCGCAAAGTAGGCGAACCACGTTTTACTCAATTCTCACCCGCCTATCTAATTAGTCAGACAGTCGCATATTACTTGCTTATCTGTCACAAATCCGTCGTAAATGAGTCGCAATAGTGTCTGCTGTCACAAATCCACTGTAACATTCCATCGCTAGTTCGTCGCAATTTTTCTGAAAGTCTATAAATAGCTTTGGTGAGTTAGTGAAGAATCACAACTTAAAGAAAGAAAGAAAGAAAGAAAGAAAGAAAGAAAGAAAGAAAGAAAGAAAGAAAGGAAGGAAGAAAGAAAGAAGAAAAAAAAGAAAGAGAGAAATAAAAGAGAGTATTAAAAAAGATCTAATAGATAGATTTGAAAAGAGAGAAAAAGAAAAAAGAATAGTGAAAAAAAAGATTTGAAAGAAGATATTGAGAGAATGTCTTCAGAGCATAGTATATATGCGTTACGATTGTAGATATACACTCATTGAGATCTGGATATTGGCGAGGTGACGAAAGAGTTCCAAGATGGGTTGTGAGGATTCTTATATACCAGGCGACAAACCAATCATTTGCAAGAGAAAATGGTAAAATATTATGTCCATGTAGAAAGTGCAAGAATAGGCCATATATAGAAATTGATACCGTGAAGAAGCATGTATATAATAGAGGATTTATGCCGAACTATTGTGTATGATTTTTACATGAGGAAGATAGTAGTGTTGTTGCGGGAAGTAGTAGTTAGGGTTAGGATTTCGAGCAGCCCAAATATAATGCTAATTATGAACATTATGAGCAGAATATGTTTGTAGATCAAGAGTATCAACAAGGGAATATGTTTCATGATATGGTTGTAGATGGAATGCATGAAGCTCCACCAATCTCATTTGTTGATAACATTAGGGAAAAACCCAACATAGATGCAAAACGGGTATATGATATGTTAGATGCTGCTAATCAGCCTATCTACGATGGATCTAGAGAAAGGCAGTCTATACTGTCATTGGCATCTAGGATAATGACAATTAAAAATGATAATAATCTCTCTGAGGTTTGCATGGATTAGTGGGCTCAAATTTTCAAAGAGTACCTACCAGCTAATAATCTTATGAAATACATAGGTTGGTTGCGGGTCTTAGCTTACCA